CATCAATTGGGTAAACGTAAGCACATACACGAGTTTCGACTGCCTGTTATATGACGTCACATTATTCTTTTATCTTTTGACATTGTGCGCACTTGTAACTTGGCATTTATTCTCAGACTATACAGAAATTACACAGATGTTAACATACTACTTAAACAACACGCTTCGACACTGTTTTGTAATTCACTAGTTGTTTTCGCGCTTGAAACAAACACTATAATATTTACGTTAAACATGAAAAACAATTTCTAAATATTACCGCAGGCCGGACTAAATGTTTCGCAAATTGGCCGTTATCGCTAAACGTACAATTATAACTTTATAATTTTGTTTTTTTGTTCAATCATCAATTTCAACAAAATTCTCTCGATGTGGGCGTTCTTAATATAGACATAGATACATCCGTTACAACGAACTTCATAAAGGGGTTAATTTTTTTGGCTACTAAGGGATAAATTAACATTTTAGATATTAACCAACAGGTACAAGAAGTCCTCGGACCTTTCCGTTAAAGTGGCTGCTGTCCGTGTTATTCATCCCTTCCAATTAAAAGGCCATGAAACGAGACTAATAAAATGTTATTTGTGATGCTTGTTCTGTGGTCCTTATCAAAATGAACGTTTTACAGGTCCACCCTGTTCGGTGGTTCTCCGAACAATGGCGTACACAAAACATAAATACATTGAAAATTTGGCCGAGCAGCTGTTCTGCAGATACTGAAACATCGAGGAGTAAGTAATAAATAAGCAATGTTTTACTCTCTCATATGCGGAAATACAAACTACCCAGGTTTTATAACGCTACGACAGTTACAGGCAGATAAATATGAATTTTAATGTTTCAAAAAGATGTGTATGCATGTCTTACTTATGTTCATTACTTCATTTTCAGACGTTCTACTGTTTATATTTTTTTATGATTTTATATTGTCTCTTCCACTAATAGGCCTATATGTGAAGCCCACTACATAACAGAGATGTGGTGTCTCTCTGGCTATCCGCCCGCATCTTTTACCACTGAAAGGATTTTGGAGAAATTTGGGATCTACATTAAAAGCTGTCGGACGAATTTAATTTTTGCGCACGTCGGTTAGTTTAAACCTCGTATTAGAGAAGTTACAGCTCAAATTTTTATCACACCGCGTCATCGTTAGGAATACAGTAGAGACGATCAGCCTCCTATACAAAATAATAGAACATATTTCAATTATATTTTAGATGCGCTGATGTAAGGCATTAAATAAAAAATATATTTTAACTGCATGCAGTTAGCTTTGGAAGAATACATTCGCATTTGAAACAAATGAAGACGAAGACAATGAAGCACAGATAATCAGAAAGAATGCATTTTGAAGATCTGCGTACTCCGCTGGAGTAAATTACCTTTACACTCTTGTCTACGAGCCGACTGATTTCGATGAACTCTTTCCATTCACGAACCTAACCAATTATCCAGACGTCAGAGAAACAAAATTAATTTGAAATTACATTTCTCCAGCACTACAAAGTTCGTCTACTGTCATCACATCTTAGTAGGCCAATGAATGAAAATAAAAGGGCAGGCGCTGAATAGAAAGTTATGAGCTCGGCTGCAGAAGTATTGCAGATATGCTATTGTCTACTGATTTCTTAAACATTAATTTCAAAATCTTGACCTTCGGTTAAACCATGATACAAAATTTCGTCGTGTAAACGACACACTTATAACGCTTAATAGTCAGTTCGTATAGTTCGACGCCCTATGAACCGATGGAGATATTAATCGATGTCAATCCGCTAAAACATTGAAGTCGCAATTTCGAAGCCCGCTGTGTTCAGTGTCGATAAAGGATTTGCAGTGGACCACCTTCTTGCCCAGTTATCCCTACTGAATACGTAACAGATTCAATGAGAACGAAAGGGTAGAATACAAGAAAGCAAAACATAAAAAGGGAAATCAAAATGCGAAAGGATAAAATGACTAATACGCACATATTTAATTTTCAAAACGAGACGTATTTCAAACCTCCGCATTACTGAAAAGTACGCGGACAAGAATTCTCTTAAAATAGGTTCAACAAACAAATTTGTAAATCCTTGTCACTTTGTGGCAGGTTGTTTTCAATGGCATTGCTCCAGGACAGAAACCTTGAATCAGGAAGGAAATCGTCTGTGAGACTCTGAGAAACAGAATCATCAATTTTATTTTGTAATCCTATAGCAATTTCAAAAATCTGTTCTATTCTTGTTCACCCAAGGATAAACATTAAGTAAGAATGCTTAAACGTGTGATTTCCATTCACGTAAATAACGAATTCAAATTAAATTTTCTAACAAAGAAACTGGTAAATAATCTTGCCAGTTTTATTCAAAAGTTTCTGTCTCAGTAAATGAGAACTCTAGCCTACTTTACGTTTTAAAATTTCCAACATATTTTCGTCGGAAAATATATCCTACTTCATACTGTACTGAAATGCATGTCATACAACCTGGTCAAAGGTTATCATCCTTAAACAATATACTCTGAAACATGATCAAATTAAGGACACTGATACAGGTCTGACTTCATTATCCCAACTGTGACAATGAAGTTGTTGAACTTTAAAGATCACGTTCAAGGGCGAAGACCATTCGTATGTACTTCCTACATCCATCTATGATTTTATGCTACGCGATGCGTTTTATTAGAACTTCAAGGCAAGCAACTCCTGACAGAAGACTACACGTGTTGTTGACCTCTAGACTTTTAACAAATGTAAATATGTTCGTTTCTCTTAGCCCTTATATTAGCTCAATTACATGGATATGATTAAGGTAACCGGAATTTTATCCCCGTAACAACTGCAGTTTCCCATTTTAATGTCACGGTTCTTGAGGGATCTTTAACATCGAAGTATATTATTTCATTTCAGAAATTACATATCACGCATCAGAAGAAACTGAATGTTACTAAAAAGATGGGATTCTGAATAATACCTTGAGAATTATGAAAACATTTGAACTGTGTTGTGTCAACTAACGACATTTAACAACGTGTTACAATTCTCTGTCATTCAAAATTTACGTTTCGGAGACCAACTCTGTGTCGGTTTTGCCCAATAAATTTCTATGAGTCAGACAAACACGTGAACTTATGAAGAAACATTCTCGAAAGGTGGGCACTGCCATTATTCTTCCGCAGTTCTTGGCAGGTCGAATCGATGACCAGACAAAACCGAGTGGTCCATATAATAATCTTCGAGAACGCCAAGGTAAAAACAATACAGATCAGGAACCTAAACGCTAATAGATAAGATTCATTAGTAAATTCGATGACGCATACGGTAACACAGTCCCACTCGCGTGTTCTTCAAATGAATTCTCCAGATTAACGCAATAATAGAGTGCATTAATATCAACTGCTGTCGCCTGCGTGTAGGATTGTCAGTCTGTTGTAGTCCGAAATATGGGGACAAAACAATGGCACTGCTACAAAAACAAAATAAAATGAGAAAGAAAAGAATCCGGAAGTGTGTCGACCGAACATTGCGGTTCAGAGCTCTACCGTTCTGCTTCGTATTCTGAAGGTCACAGATTCGATCTCGGCCATCCTGACTGAAGCTTCTTGTGATTTTCCTCAATTCCATAGGTACAATTCTCGGGGGAGGGGGGAGGAACTTATAGTGAGCCACTACCGCTTCGTTCCAAACCATAAATCGCAATTCTGTTTCATTTTACGCTACATTAACTTTTACGGCACAAAATCGAAGTTAAATAAATTAAAACAAGACGAGAATTCTCTTGCTAGATACGGAATTCAGTAACAAACAAGTTCGACTCGCAGCAAAACACTGCAACCAAGTGATGATAGAACGTCGCAAAACCGTATTTGTAGGTCACAGTGAATACGTAACGATAGAGTTGCGTGCAGACGGTCAGGTACGCATCAGAGCCGAGATAACAGGCTCGCACACGTTACAGACAGTGGCAAGTACCTCAGAAAAAAAAACGATCATAAATCTTCAGACTCGGGAGATTATTCTCGATAAGACTGGGAGCAACACAGGGCCCCGCCGTCATCAATCAGACGATGTGACGAGGCCGCATTAGTGTCACGACACTAATGGACAGAAACAATTACACGCACGTCGCGGCCCGGCTCTATTTACTGGAAGGTATTAACTAGCTCCCATAACGATTTTAATTTGTGAAAATATGTTCAGTTCCAACATTCATACGTACAGATAATCGCAAGGCTAGAGCTGAGAGAGATTAGGAATCACGTGTTGTGTCAGTATAAAGCTGGACATAAAATGTGTCATCTGGTCTCCCTTCACCTCACATTGTTACGCAGTCTTAACGACTTCAAATGCCGTTAATTCCTTGGCTGCTGTGGCCATCAAGAGCTTATGCTGTACTTTCAATCACTTCGTGACTGACATACACCATAAGACAACAAACGCGGTTTTAGTTATCTACCTCCACGAAGCAGAGTCGCTCAACCCAAGAGATAACTCGTCTTTTATGGAACTCAAAGGTCCACACCCGTCTCCACAAGGGACCACCACTGACAGCTGAATTCTATTCGCATCCCACATTCTACTTCTTTAAGATCCATTTTAATATCATCCTCCTATTCAATCATAAGTTTCCCAAGTGGTCCCTTCCGTCCGACAAGAGGCTCTGTATGCGTTTCTCGTCTCACACATTCGCGGTACTTAGTTTTAGTCCAAATACTTTCCTCAGCTCAATCAAACATACAGCGTCGCCGTAAACGTAGCCTGCAAGGGGTGATGAATCCAACTGCCCATGCGTTCTCAAGTTTCAAAAACTTCGAAAAACAAGTAGGCAGAAGAAAACGTGAATACATGACCACGGGAATGGTTACAAGCACATGCTGAAACATTGTTCAATTCCTTGTTTGCAGACAAAGTTTGTGTTTGTGTCGTTTGGCATTGAGAACCACACTAAAACAAAACAGGGTACCAAACGCAAAACAACAAACATATAAAAACTTATTTTATCCAAATATGTTTTTCTCTAGTTCCTTTCTACATCCACTGAATATTTCTGTGCTGTTTCGAAGGCTTAAGGCAATAACTATAACGTTTGACCCAAGACTTTCTTACTGACGAGCAAAGAATTAGGTGCAGATTCTGTCACTTCTTCCTAGTTAGTGCAGTTAGTTCGTCGCACTCCAAAAACACACTTACTGGGTACAGTTTGTACAAGTGACTGCAAAGTCTTAGGGCCCGTGAAAGTTAAATAACGGTACATCCGACATTGAAACCCCAAACGAACGGGTGTTTACTTTAAAAACACCATCTATGACACAGTAATAACATAACAGAATAGTAGGCAGGTCTACTAATGTTCCAAACCCATGTCACGCTGCATGGTTAGATTAGCTCCGTCCTATCACGAAGCGCCTACATTCCCGTAATGAGACACAGCACGCATTTTAAAATATACGTGTACACCGCATCTCAGTAACAAAAGATACACCGTGTGTGAATGGATGTATTGCCTAACTGTGATTTGTATGTAGATATATACATATATCTTCCAGATGCCAATTGAGAAATGTGTCCTTGACTTACATTTCAACGCTGTAAGCAACTCCTTACTAAACCCTTCTAATTTGGGAAAGTCAAAATTATAAGATAGATATTTTGTCGCATCGAGATATGTGGTGGTCCCAAACGGCCTCGTACCATACAGGGGGCATTTTCTTCGGCTACTGTCCAATGCATGAATAAGGAACATGCATTTCGCAATGAATAGTTACAATTTCCAATGATAATCAGAATTATTTACCTAACGTCCAAACAGAATTGTCATTACTCTTTATTTCCGAAGGGGAACACAGAAATGTCTCACGTATTTACTAAACGAGTAATGCGCAACGCCCGTGGCGATGACTTGTCCGTCACTGAATCTGACGTTTTATTAGACCAGCGATGAACATGTTTACCAAAGCTTTCGTCACGTTACATTACTGTGTTCTTTGTGCACGATAAGACCTGCGGGACGGAAAAGAAGCAACGTTCACTCTTAACAAAATTAAGTAGATACTCGTCAAAACCTTGGGCGATAAGACGGGCGGATAGACCTACTGACGAGAATTATTTTTGGAAATCGGTCGTCAATATATGAACCAGCTTACGACATAATCCAGCAAC